AGTTACCGGATTTCGATCGGGAGTTTGTAGTTACCACAGATGCGTCAGGGGTGTCAGTGGGTGGTATACTACAGCAGGACTTCGGCAACGGGCTGCAACCCGTTTGCTATGAGAGTAGGAAGCTCAACCCGGCCGAAACCCGGTACAGTGCATACGAGCGAGAATTACTGGGCATCACTTGGGCTGTTGGGAAATGGCGGCACTACTTGGCCAGCCGCCACTTCATCATCCAGACAGACCATGACTCATTGAAAAACCTGCCCAACCAGCCTGCAGTAAACAGGAGGGTTTGGAAATGGGTGCAGGTTCTGCAGGGCTACGATTGTGATATTGTCCACATACCAGGAAAGGACAACCCTGCAGATTTTCTGACGCGCAGAAGTATTCAGGAGTTGAGATGCATGGCAGATGTACGCGCAGAAGAGGAGTCATTGGTCCAGCGTCTTCGTCTTCATGAAAGTGACAGTGGGGAAAACGATATTCAAAAGAAACTGGACGATATATTTAAAAAGTCCAGTCCTGAAGGTGCAGTGGTGGCTGCAAGTGGGGAGCAAAATTATTTACATTCTTTATTGGTGACCAGCACCAGGATTACTCTGGAGGAAGACTTGAGGAGCTCTATAAAAGAGGGCTACAAGCAAGACAACAGATGGGCAGAAGTTTTGAACCAATTGGAATCTGCCCAAGGACGAGTCACCAGGATCGGGAATCGTGACTAACGATTGAACCATGGATTTGTGGAAATCAAATTGAAGGACAACACCGAGGACCGGCAACCTTGGAGATTGGTGGCCAGATGTGGAGGACGCCCGCAAGAAGATTATGGCAGACATACATACAATACCATATGCGGGACATCTTGGTTACCACAAGACACTCAAGAGACTACAACAGAATTTCTACTGGCCAGATCACACAGTGGATGTAAGAGACTTTGTGCTGGGATGTGAGGTCTGCCAGTCAGAGAAGAGTGTCCACAAGTTGCCAGCAGGACTCCTTCAGCCTTTGCAACTTCCAGAGGAAAAATGGAGTGATATCAGCCTCAACTTCATCATGGGTCTACCGGTCAGTGAAAGGAAAAACGATGGGATTCTCACAGTGGTAGACCGAGCTACCAAGATGGTACACTTAGTACCAGTCCAGTAGACCATCACTGCTGCTGAGACAGCTCGAGTCTACTAGGAGCAGATTGGACGACTTCACGGGATCCCCAGATCGATCGTCAGTGACCGAGATCCACGATTTGTGTCAAAGTTCTGGCAAGAATTCTGGAAGATTTTGGGTAGCAAGCTGAGGATGTCCAGCGCTCATCACCCCCAGACAGACGGACAGACAGAGGCAGCCAATAGGGTGGTGGAGCAAGTCCTCAGGTGTACAATCCATGGCAGTCAGGAAGCCGCTCACTGGGAAAAATACTTGCCCATGGTGGAGTTCGTGATCAACAGCAGCGCATCGCCATCCACGGGGTACACACCTTTCTTTCTGAACTACGGCTTTGAGCCAGTGACCTCGTTGGACCTGATTAAGGATGTGGACCAGACCAACATTGAAGGTGTCAACGTCTTTGTCAACCGAATGAAGAAGACATTCAGAATGGCGATGCAGTCAGTTCATCAAGCTCAGCAGAGGCAGAAGCGTCAGGCCGATCAGCGGCGCAGAGAACAGAGGTTTCACAGTGGGGAACAGGTGCTACTCAGTACAGAGCATCTACAGTTGAAAAATGCACCTGTACGCAAACTGAAGCGATGGTTCGTAGGACCATTTGCTGTGGTCCGTCAGGTGGGATCAGTGGCCTACGAATTGAAGCTACCAGTGGGGTGGAGGATTCACAACGTCTTTCACACCAGTTTGCTTAGACCATTCAGATCGTCCAGATGGTCATCCCCACAGGGGTCAGAGGACGCCGAGATTAAGCCAGAGGCTGATGAACCATACGAAGTAGAGAAGCTGCTGCGATGGAGATGGGCAGGACCCAGTGGCAGGAGGCACAAGGAATTTTTGGTATTATGGACAGGGTGGAGTATTGACGATGCCTCTTGGATACCGGCAGGAAATTTCACCTACGCCAGGGAGCTCCAGAAGATGATCAAGAGGGACAAGCCCGAGGAAGACACTAGTATGGGATAGTGTGCTTTCGAGGGCGAAAGCTACCCCAAGGGGGGAGTAATGTGACGTGGCTACTTGGGGTAAGGCAGTTATTTGACATTTTCTGGAGTAGGATTACGTAATTGGCCAAATCGAGTGTTATTATTGTGAGTGTTATTAAGAGCCTCCTGGTCCCAACGAGCTTTTAAACGCCCGATTCCGTTAAGAATTGACGAAGATATGGCCTTCTGAAGTCACAGTACTTAGGGCCAGGGGGTCGGGTGTGAGATGCTTGGAATTAGAGGATATTGGGTCGATCGTAGGTGAACGGTGGACGGTGACGATGTGCCCGGACGCGCACTTGTGTTGTCTTGTCTTGATGTGACTGCGATGGACCCGCGATCGGGCGTCGCGCATGCGATATGTATGCGCGCATGCGGTGAATCATTGTAACTGTTCTGGCCCACTCTCTGGCCTCCCGCGAGCCAGCGAACCACCGCCTCGCTGCGCCGCCACCTCTCGCCGACAGCAGGCCCCGGGGATCGATCCCCGTCGAGCATTGGGCCCACCGCGTGACCAAGGAAGCGACTGCCCCGGATACGCCCACCATCCGAGGTGGAGAACGCCGGCTGACCTCCAACAACCGAGCCGCAGGGCAGGGCGACCCCCACGACTCCGGAAACCAGCGGCTGCCGACGGGGCCGCAACACCACCCTCACAATCGGGTGTGGCACCTGCCGGGGGCCCATTGTTGCCACCCACGGCGTGCGCCATTGGCTGCGGGAGGCACTACAATTGTGACGGGAATGGGCGCCCACGAGCACAAATTTCCGGCGCATCCACCACGCTTCCTAGCCCCTGTGGCTCGCAGCAATGGTCGCCGACGAGGTGGCAGAATGCCCGCAGAAATGGCAAACCCACACTCCCAAGGCTTTCGTTTGTGGGCGCTCGCTTTTTGCACCTCAGGCACCTTGATTGCCGTTGATAGCCACACCTTGGAGAAGGCCAGCGCAGCCAACGCACCACGTTGCGTCGATCACCCGGCCGGCCAGCTCGCCGCTGCGCCGGATCGGGGAGTGCCAATCGGCAGCAAGCATCTTTCACAATGGCTGACGCACGACCTAGCGACGAGGAACGCTGGGTGGCCACGTTTCAGCGTTCTTGCTGGCCCCCTTGCGGCGCAAGGCTTGTTCAACATTTGTAGCAAGGTGGCCACGCGGGAAGCACTGCTGTGGCCGTAGAATTGGCACCAAAACACTCCAGGCGTCGTCCTTTCTGCGCCCGCCAGCGTGACGCACAACCATCTCGATTGGGAGCCGCGGGTGCCGGGAATGGCGGCCAGCAGTCTGCCACTCTTTCGGCTGTGTTCCCGCTCACGTTCACGCACTTATGCCATCTGCACCGGTCTAAAATGGCCGCGCGGTGCTGCGCCACGCCGCTCTCTAGCGTGCCGCCGCGCCTCGCTGCTATACGCTGCGGTTTGAAAAGCCCTTTCGTTCCTTGCTCCTTGGGCTCTCGCCTGAGCCTCGTGCTTTGCGTCCTTGCAACAGCGGTTTGTCATTGGTTTGAGGCAAACCAATTGGAGGTCGCGGCTTTCGTAACCCCAGGTCGCCCAGCTCCCGCCCCAATGCCCGCTTCGCCGCGGATGGCGGCAAACCTCGCGAGGCGCCCCGAGCAAGAGACGCTAATCGCCTATGTCAGAATTTTACCCTTCGTCCGAGGGGCGCGCAGCGGGCGCCGCGAGGCTTGCCACTGCGCGAAAAGGGCGTGTTTGAACGCCAGCGTGGCAGTGGGCCTGTTGATGTGTTGCGGGCTGCCGCCGTGCTTTGGGCTGTACTGTGGGTGGGCGTGGCTTGATTGACGGCCGAGTATTTTAAATACCGCCGGGTTAATTGTGAGGCTGAAAGAACAATTGATAAGTGATTATGTGACATATGGAGATGCATGGTGAAGTGTAGCACGGTGAATATGGTGGTGGTGTTACAGTTGCGTGTATGCGGGGCAATGGAAGGGGAATGGAACGAATGGTTCCATGAGTACGGTTACTTAACTGACACACTCATCCTGTAACGCATCTTATTACAGTCTTGCTTCCGGTGCCTGGGAGCGACCGAGCGCGGACCGAGCGCGAACGGTCAGCGCGATAATAATAATTATTATTTATAACTATAATGTCAATACAACACTAAACATACACGATTCGGCTCTCCAGAACATCACGCACCGAAGAACATCTTGATGATCTTCCAAGTCAGTTCCGTTTATTGTCTATGAATTCAACGCGAGCAGGTGGCCCTACCAAAGAATATGTGGGCACTGATGGGCAAGGCATTTCCATATCTGCAAAGCAACTATCCAGCGGGGAGACGCGCTGGCCTGTCTCCGTGTTGATACTGCGCCATGGCAATTGCGCCCTCGAGAGGGATCCTTGGATCCTCCTCCACCCCAATCTTGCAATGAAATTGGGCATAACGTCGACTCCTATAGTTAAATTGTACCCGCACACCCCATACTTCTCCATTGTTCAACCATAACTACATCTTTTGGACTGCTCCGTCCTGGTCTACGCCACCACATACACACCATCTTACTTATGCATCTTGATGCGGAGGCGGCCACAACTCACAGGACAGCGTCGCTTCAGCAAGCTGAATCTGCGATAACAATCCCAAAACAGTCTGATCATTATTCAGATAGAGTAGAGCTGCGCCGACTCCTGGCTTCGTTTCATCATATTAGCGCACTGATTGACTGGAAACACCAATGGGAAGTCCGCTGCTCGTCCTACCACAAGCTCCCCCACCCACCCACCCATGGACCCATCCCGCAAGGGTTCAACTGACTTCCAGAAGTTGCGCATTATTTGGCACCATGGACAGAAGCTGCACACATAATGAAAAAGACCATCCTGCCTTCTATTCTTTCTCCTGTTTCTGGTGCTCGCCAATCTTGAGCAACTCTGTAACATGACCCAGGGTTGGCCGTGGTGAAGTACTCTTCTCCGCATTCTCACCCTCACCACTGCCAGAGCTGCAAGCATGCCCTTGAGCAGCAACGTCGAGACCATTAGGCTTTGGACTGAAATCTTCAGGGGTCTCATGCATTAGATGGTCTGCATTGGCCCTCGATTTCTCCAAATAGGCCTGCTGCTTCTTTTCAACGACCTCCAAAAATGGCATCGAAGCCCTCTTGAGAGACGGAGGCCTGTGAGCCATGTTGGGCGCCCCTACAGATATCCGGCCAAGTGAGGGTACCTCAGACACACCCAGCAGCTTCGGATTCACAGACTTGGTCCTCCTGAGTGCGGTCTCCCCTTCACTAGAGTCACCACTGTCTTCTTTGGCCTCAGGTTCGGGTTTGGGATCCTCGAATGTTACTCTAGGCCGGCGTTTCTTGGGGACTGCACCTTCTCCTGCATCTGCCACCTCGTGGCCATCCTCTGACTTCACAGATTTCTTTGATGACATCGAAAGTCTGCTCAGCAGGGACCGTGACCTCCTCCCCAGCGATGGGGCGCTGCAGTGTTGTGACCCTTCACTATCCTCGTCCCCTGTCTTTGGCGAAGCAACCTCCTTGATGTCGGGCAGATCTATTAGAGGAATGGAGACCCTGCTCAAAAGAGTGCGTGACTTCCTCAACAGTGATGGGTGACCAGCGGAAGATGTCATTTCCACAGAAGTATGATGCCCTCCAGATGAGGTTCTCTCAAGAGAATCGCCCTGGGCCTCCTGTTTCTTTGTTTTCAACATGGCCCCCACCAACATCCCAAGTGCACTGTGTCCATGGTGCTCATCGTCTTCCTCTTGTGGTTCATGAATAACCTCCTCAGGAAGCTCATGTGCAGCCTATCAAGGAAGAAGGACAATCCGTCAGTCACTTGATGGTGGATTGTGTGGCAATCTGATGGAAAAAGATACAAATCTGCGGGTGCTTGCAAACACAGTGCTCAGACAGGGTCCCATGCTCTACAGCACACTGCGTGCCAAATTTAGACACCCCCAGATAGGAGTGCAGTGCGTTCTTCACCAGGAAATACCCATGCTCTTACTAATGGGAGCACAGCTCAACATGGCCTGCAATGTCATCCTCCGACATCAAACCTTGTCGATGTGAACCTCCTGCCACAGCACGTGCTCATGGACAATAATACCACATTTGTCCTTGTCTGGAACAGAAAAGAAGCAAAAGTAAAATCACTTGATGAGGAACAATTTGCTGGCCTACCTCTGTTGCCACAGCAGACATTTCAGACCAATGAGTTGGAATATGGGCTGCTCCAGTGCCAATCACAGATCCATTCTTATCAGTGTCTGCTGCTGCTGCTGCTGCCATTTTTGTCCCCATGGATGTCCTTCCCAGACCCATCGATGTCTTGGACAGATTCATTGATTTGGTTGCGATCGACATCCTCTCCAAGGTGCTGTGGTAGATAATGACAATGTCAGTATGAGTGAACGTTCAATAGCGCTCATCTGTGCACCACTGCTTGTGACATGAAGGAATCCCACAAAAATGCAGGATAACATCCACAACCTCGATGCCACACATTGCTGTTGGAATTGCTGACATCACGATGTTCCTGACCCTTGCAATACAAAAGCCTGCCCACTGCAGCACACGGCTTTCTGTAAGTCCAAACAGCGACACAAAATCAAACAGGTGAGCAAAACCTACTGGACCAAATGGGGCTTGATGTGGTGCTTCTTTGCTCTCTTGATAACCTTGCTTGGGCAGTGAGAGCCGGTGACCATCGTAAGTCCGTAAACAGGCAGCAGAAGAATGGAGGTGAAGAACATGACAGCGATGCCAACGATAACAAGAGACAGGGAAATCCAATTTGAGGTAAGGATGAGGTGTGGTTCAACTTCTTGCCAGAGGTTGAACAGCAAGATGGCCATCAGCAGCGAGTTCAGGAAGTAGGTGTGCTGGAACACGTGGAGCATCAAGCGTGGCCGCTTGAATGGGAACAACACAATCGAATCAGGGATCATGTACCTGCAGTGCAGAATTTTCACATTTCATTGTGAGTTGAACTGCTGCATGTGCCAGCCACCTTCTTCTGGAGCAAATAAATAAGGGAAAGGAAGCAACCAATCTTCCATCCATCAACTCTACTATAGTAAGACCAACTGAAGCTTCTCTGTTGGTCACTTAATACAGCAATGCCACTGAAGTCACTGGACGTTCTTGCTGAAGCAAATGGAAGGGCTAAGGGGGCACGGCAATGTGCCAAAGAAAGCAGGGATGGCATGTGCTGACAATCGACCACTGTAGCACTCCTCCACACTCTGCACAAGCAACTCACTCATCAGCAAATGTGCTATGAGACTCGTCTGTAGCCTTCTCCCCAAAACATCCTATGCAGCAGCACAGGCTTGGTGCATCGCTAGCCTCCGATCCAGGTTGATGGCGTCGGGTGCACCGTGGGGTAGCAATGGCATAGTAGAGGCCAGAACCCAACCTCTGGTGCTTGGCACCTTCTGATGGTCTCGTAGGATCAACAGGAACCTGGTTTAATTGGTCAGAGTAGTGACCACCGTTGCCATTGGACTGCCGCCACAGGAGCGCCGCATCACTATGCACAGCACCGGAGGAAGTGGATGCGGCATATGAGATTTCCTGGTCAGACCCAGGCAGTGACATTGTGAGGGAGTCATTCTTGGACACCATTGACTCCCTGGACTGGCGACCATCAGACGGGCATTCCTTGTAGCCCTCTCCCATAGGACTGCTCTTGTGGCTGTGGCAATATTCTGGGTGGAATGCACTGTCCCTCTGTGAAGGACCATGGACCTGCCCACGTGAATGACCAGGGACAGTATCATGGTCACAATGGTGCCCCTCAAGGTGGAGGTGGCGATGTGAATGGAATGTGTGAGATATCCCCATGGAAATCTTCTGCAAATTTCTCATGATCGGGTTCTGATGCTTGTGGTGCCCTGGTGGTGCCTTGTCTGCATACATGGTATATGCCTCGTTGCCAAGCATGAGGGCAATCGACTCCAGCTTGGTGCCGATCAGAAACGTCATCGCAACAGCCACAATGACCATCACATACACAACGAATGGAGGCATCCAGATCCAGATCGCAGCTACTGCCCACATAACCCAGTCAAGGCTGACCACCTTGGAGAACTCTTCCTCCATGGAGTTCACAAGGAACTTGTGGAAGTCGAAGCTGTTGTCCAACTGCATGCGCTCGATAAACAAGCGACGTAGGCCAAGGTACACTGACTCATCAATGTGCTGGTGAAACTGAGCAAAGAAGGAGCGGCCCCAATGGAGGCAAGCACTCGACTCGTCCAAGAGGCGGGTGTAGTCGATCTTCCTCAGCCCAGTGTGGGCACGTGCCTCCCATCTCTTCCACTGATTGACCTACAAGCCACCCACCCCAGGGTTGGCAAAAATTTTGCCAGGTCGATATTGGGAAACCTTGTGGCCAAACACAAGGTCAGTCGACACTTTGAACTCCCCATTGCAGAAAAAAGATGGCTTGCCCTCTTTCACCTTGAAGTGTGATACCGCCACCTTGCACTTGACACTGGCCACCCACCACCGCTGAGATTATCAATCTCGTGCATCGAGGCTGTGTTCTATCTCCCAAACTATGGATGGCGGAGACGAAAAGCACAAACAAGTAACACCCACCTTCCAAGCACATAAACCCATTGATACGCCGGCGTATATGATGTGCACCACGGCGAGCACAAAGATGAAGATGTGGGTCTCGTGGATGGCGCGGATTGACCAAAAGGACTCCTGACCCAGGGGGCAGGGACCGTCGCCCCCAGCGGAAGCCAGCAGCGTCCTCATCACACCACCTAGAAGCCTCCGGTTGCCAAGGTCGTCAGAAAGCAGAGCAGCATCCGTGGCAACCGCGACATCGTCTGGGGGGGTTGGCGAAGGAACCGAGGAGTCCCGGGTGTCGGCGCCAGCAATCTCGGCGTGCAATACGTCATCCATTGCGTCGTTTTGGTGGTCATCGAGGTGGCCATCTTCCGCGTGGCCCGCCTCCCTACTGCCGGCCTTGTTGCCCTCCACCTTCTTCTTGTCGCTGGACAGTTTTTTCTTCGCACCCTTTGCGTGCGTGCCATCGACGCAGATCTCCACGAGGTAATCCTGCATCGACAACTACCAGAAACGTAAGCAAGAGAAAGATTATTGAAGACGAGGCTTGGGGATACAGCTCACACCACAGTCTGTTGCATTGCCGAGGTGTTCGCGGTCAAGGCCAGCCCCCCCTGCCGGATCCCGGAACGTCGAGGCTGCAGCGCGCAAGCGTCCTCTTCCGGTGCTATTCTCAGAACACAATCCTATCAACTTGTCCATTCTTATCGAGCAATGTCGGCCTCACATTTGTTCGGTTGTTCCTGTGTTCTAATGGCGTTGTTGGATGGTACGTCTGTTGATGTTCATTTCTTCTTTATTCGGTCTGTTAGCACATGAGTTTTCCACAGCAATGCGTGTCAGCGCGAGGCCCCAGCGGGCCCCAAACAAGTGTTGCTCCATACGTCATGGATCCCATCATCAGGTATTTTCAATGTAGTCCAATTAGTACTGTGGTTTGCTACGTAAAGCGCAATGAGTACACGGATATGGTCGAAGTAGTCAGTTATATATGTGAGCTGAAAATTGCTGTCTATGGATGTCCTAGAATCTTGTGAATTAATGTAACGCGCTAAGCGCACCCGTTAGTCACACTGTTGCTTTAATCAGTGAACAACACATGCATGTCATATATTCATATGACTAGACCATGGCGACTGAATATTCAGTCGCCATTAATGGGTGAGCATGGAAAGCCGCTGAGCGTTGCTTACAAGCAAGAAACTGCAGTAGCGCTGCACATGGAACTGCAGTGACAACAAACTCATACTTGGAGCACCCACTGAGTGGCTTGGCCAGTAGCGCATTTGCACTGATTGAAGTCACCAAGTGAAAGCCAAAAAGCTTGAGGAGATATTAGGAAATCGAGCAAGTATGGCAATTGGGTATCAGTGTCGTTAGTAGTTTAGAGTGTTTTCCGACATGGTGCATTTTGGAAAGAGCAAAATACCGCCGAAAATCTCGAAAGACTGGCCTACTTGGCAAGTTCATGTACATTTCAAGACTGATTTAAAGCAAGTAAGTTGTCGTCAACTAAAGCTTCTCTCATGCATTTGGCCAAATCATGAGATTTAGGCATTTTGTATGGGTGCCGACAGAAAGTGGACAGGTTGAAGATTTAGTTGCCTATACAGGGCGCCGCCGCACAGCGTGACCTGTGAATGGCTGATTCCCTATCATGCCACTTATGTTCACAATTTTTACGGGCCAAATTGGCGACTGAAGTCAATAGGACCAATTGCGAAAACGTCTGCAATTGGGATCTGAAATGCGGATTCTCTTTTGACAGAAAACATGCAGTCGTGAACGGTCCTCAATCATTTCAAAATGGTAATTAGCAGGAAACTTGGTGCTGTAGTAGTGAGGTGGCTCAAAGGCGGGCAGCCAGGCCTGTGGTAGACCCTGAGCGAGCCCAGGAACTGCACTCTGACAAGGATGTTATTGTAGTCCCCTGAGTGAGATCACTGTCGTTTTTCTTGTGGCCTTTCATTAACTTTCATTTTATCTTGGTGGCCTATTGTGCGGTTTTCCTTTGGGCAGCGGCTTCGCTGAGCAGCGCTATGGCAGTCACTTGCCCGCTGATTCAACATGCGCACATTCAAAAGTTACGCATTGAAAGTCATTTAACCCAACCATACTAAATAGATCTTGTGCAACAATTCATAGCCAGTTGCCGTCCTCACGGGCGGAAAATGAGCCCCCTTTAAGGAATTCAGAGGGGTCCCTGACAGATTGGGCTTTTGCAAACAATCCGAGGCTCATTTCAAATTTCTGAAATGGTAGATGTCTATTGCAAAAGCATGAATTGAATCCCTTGCAGCTCAAAATTCAGTGATCAGGGTGCGAAAATACACCACCAATAGCTGAGGATGACGAAGGACACGTTTTCACCGAAACTGCAAGAGAGAGACTATAGCAGCGCGCCCAACTGATGCAAAAGACAGTATGCCTCTGTGCCCACCCGGTATTCCCTCGTGAAGCGCATCATACTACTGCTAAAGGGTTTCCCGCTGCCAAACCTGTAATATGTTGAGGGTGACTGCCGAACTGCTGGCTTGGACAACCGGCAAGCAATGCAATACAAAGATGCATGAACATAGACCAAGATTGCAGGACGAGTTGTTAGGTACATCCGTTTGGGTAGATCGGAGCAACGGACATGGTCGCATAAGGCATGCCTTATGCCTATTGATGGCGTTCATTGTCCTTTAGAGTCAATGGCGAGGACCTCGGTGCTGCACCTCCGTCTACCATATGGCATGCATGGGCTGCGCAGCCCATGCATGCCATATGGTAGACGGAGGTGCAGCACCGAGGTCCTCGCCATTGACTCTAAAGGACAATGAACGCCATCAATAGACATTTACCCATGTGTCAGAGCGGCAAATGGGCGCACAGCAATAGGCATACACTGAATTCAGCTGCCACCCAGGACTTGAGGCTTTAGCCCATCGATAAGCAAAAAGTCAAGATGACGACATGTTGTGCGTCTGTCTCCAAGACGATTGCTATAAGCCAAAGTGGGCATCAAAGGTAAAACAATGTCGAAATCAGCCAAGATGGCTTGTATGTTTGCGTAGGGTCGTTTCTTTTCTGCTTTTATGTATGATGCGTTCGACATCAGTTTCCATAGTACTTGACAGCCAAAGTGGGGATGTGACCTGTTGGGTGAGAGAGCATCAGAGAATGCATTTTGCTTTGCTGTGTGCTGACATCGGGACTAAGGTCATGAAGCTTTGTTCACCTGGTGGCGGAAGCCACACCCCTCGAACGTCTTGTTCGGTCTTGGGGCTTCCGCTGAATCTCCCAAAATATATCTTTAAGATACCTTGTCCCCACCGGCGGGGAAAAAGTGGGATGAAGCCTCGCTATAGAGCTCACTTTTCCACAGATCTGTGGAACTGCAATCGCACGGCGTCACGTGATCGCGTCCCGTGGGGTCACATTTCGCGTATCAGCCTCTGATTAGGCGATGCGACATGCCAGCACGGCCCCCCGGGTTGCTGTGACAGCTGGCCTGTGTACTCATGCTGTCCTACTCTTGTTAACGATATCGAAGGTCAGAATATTGGCGCACATTCCAACCTGCGATCGCATTGGTCTGGTCGCATATTCGGTCTCGTGAAAATCTTTCCCCTCAAACGCCGGGCAAAAATTACCTGCCTTGGCGCACGACGGGAGGCGAGCAGGGGTGGGGTTGTTGCAGGACGAAGGAAACACCGTGTGTTAACGTAATCCTGGCCCTTTTTGTGCGGAGCTACACGTAACGGTGTTGACGATTGGTGGGACAAGTGGCTGCCGCTCGTCCTTTCACTGCTTACTCATGGGGTAAGTGGTACCGCGGGTTGAGATCTTGGTGCGGTGACAGACAACTGTTGACCACGTTTTGAGTGGTGTGTCTTGTGTAAACGTACCGTCATGTGGGGAAACAGGAGCGTGGGTGGGCTGGGGAGACCGATAAGACAGAAACGCGCAGACTGTTGTTGCTGCTGGCGAGGTCTGTGAAGACTGGGGGCTGATCAATATTCTTGCACTGCGGCGCTTTGAAGACATGCCAAGTGGAACAAAACCGTCTGTGTTGGTCATAGGCGGTGGACCCGGCGGTGTTTCGGTCGCACGCCAGCTGTTCAATGTGGCGGATGTTACTGTCGTCGATCCATCACCATATTTCGAGGTTCATTGGGGTTGCTTGCGTGCAGTGGTGGAACCCGCTCTGGCCGACAGGATGCTGGTGCCTTATGAGTCAATCCCGCGGCTGGGGACGTTTGTGAACGGCAAGGTGGCGGAGCTCGGCGAAAAGTCTGCCAAGCTGTCTGACGGAACCGTCCTGGACTTTGACTATGCCGTCGTTTGCACTGGTTCGGGGTACGGCGACGCCGTGGTGAAAGCCAGGCAGGCGTCGCTGGCGGAGAGGAAGGCTACCATCCAAGGTCAGTCGAGCCGACGTTCGTTTGCCCATCACAGCGATGGCTGTTCGGGGCGCATTGCGCTGTTACCCGTAACGTGCACCACTTCTCTCCTGATGGCAGACACGTGCTCCATGACGCACAGCGTAGCAAATGCCCAACAGGCAAGCGGAGCACGGTTGAGATAATTTCAACACTGTTGCGTGGCCCTGACAAATTATTGCGCTTTATCCAGCTTTAGCCAGCTAGTTCAGGTGTGCCCTTCTATCACAGGGCCACGGCTTTTGCCTAACGATGCATATGCGAGAATGGAGCCGAATATACAAGATGGAGGCAACTGTTTTTGCTGCAAGGCTATACAAAACTGGCCCAACTGGGCATTTTGGATTTGAATGAGCATGGTCCTGCTCAAAAACTCAAAGGTGCACACAGAGAGACATGCTTGGGATCTTGCTCCTTTTCTTTCATGCCTTCTTTGTTTCTTGACATCCTTCAGTGACATGTTGACGCCATAATGGATAGCACTACTTGGACACAGGCTTCATTGTTTGTCTCTCTGCCCTTGCCAGTATTGTGACAATTTCATGTGTCCATTCGTTTGGAGTAAACCGTAGCAACACCACACGTGCTCATCACTGGCGTTTTAAGACCTTGAAAGTTGGCATGTTCAATTTGTTAGCACGCGGTTTCAGCTGCCTCAAGAGCAATTGCCAATGCAGTCTTATTTCATAATTCAACAATGGTCAGTTGCGAAATGTCCAGCTACCCCTGCATCGCCCAAGCCACGAGTTATCTGCCCAGTGGAGCACACAGTTATAGAACACTGTCACCTCTCATGTTCGGAATGGTGACCAACGTGTGTTCGAGAACTCAACTCATACTCTCCTCTTTGGCAATGGGGAGTACTCATGGTCATGGATAAAGGGTGCTTGTAAAAGAGGTTGAATGGCATTGTGTGATGTTAGCCTGGGACACTGCACCGAACTCCTCAACATGGTCCACCGGTCAGCATTTTGGTTGTTGTGCTATTTGACAGCAGCAGCACAAACAGCTTGGAGCTTTGTCCTTACACAGGTAGTGATGTGTATTTGTTGCCATGCAGATGCGTATGCGCGCATTGTGGCAGCAAAAAGCGTGTTGATTGTTGGTGGAGGCCCTGTGGGAGTGGAGCTGGCTGCAGAGATCCTGACTGACTTCCCCGGACAAAAGACAGTCACCTTGGTCACCAGCCAAGATACTCTTCTTGCGGGCAATGCACCTCGATTGGGAACCAAGGCTAAGCAATGGCTTGAGTCGAGGGGCTGCAAGCTCATTCTGGGGGAGCGGGTGAGCAAGGGGCCACCCTTCACACTGGAAAATAGTGGAGAGACTCTGGCAGCTGATGTCGTGTTCTGGTGCACTGGCACCAAGAAGACCACCGAGTACATGGTTGCAAACTTTCAGAATATGTTGGACGACTCTGGCCTCGTCAAGGTCGATGAATTCCTGCGTGTGGAGGGCAAGGAGCACATTTTTGCAGTTGGGGATTGCAACAATGTGAAGGAGACCAAGCTAGGGTACCTGGCAATGGCACAAGGAGCAGCTGTTGCAAAGAGCATTCAGGCCATCATCAAGAAAGGCTCTGGCCAGCCCAAATTGCAGAAATGGGTCCCTGGCAAGGGAATTGACCTGATGGTAGTCACCTTTGGCAGAAAAATGGCCTACATGCAAGTAAAAGGAATTGTTTTTGGAGGTTTTCTGCCAACGAAGCTGAAATGCAAGGATGTCTTTGTTGGAAAAACACGAAAGGATATTGGAATGCAAGCCTGATGTGTCTTATTGAAGCAGTAGATTTGTGGCCGAGATATGGAGTCCACACATGAATCCCATGCTGATCTCAAATGCCTCCTTTCCCCTTTCTCTGCGGCATGATGGGTGGTTGAACAGTCCGGCAACGAAAGTTCAGGGCAGGTTTGAACTGGAATTGGCGATATTCCAGCCATCTAAGCATTGGAGGCAAGGCAGATATCGATGCAGGGGACTGCATTGCATGGTGGTAGTGGCACCCAGTTTCCCTGATCTCGTGCTTGCTCGGTCACTTGACACGTGGTCGGTGCCTCTGGAATCTTGCTTTAGCAGGAGAATGGTGTTTGACTATCTTGTTTCCAATTGAGAAGTAGAACCGGAGAAGTTGCTTGTGCATACCCGGCCGGCAAGTATCCCGTGGGTCGGTGCATGAAGACCCCATTACCGGCCTGGGCACCCGTGTAATAGGATTAGTAAGATCCAACAAAGATCTCTGTGGAGCAATGTGCGATAAAATTGTGTTACCGATGCAATAGTATCACACATAGTTCAGACAACATCAATGTTGACAGTTTCCTCTGAGAAAACTGATAGAATTCCAAGATGAAGTTTCAATTCGCAGTTCCGCACTGAATATGCACTACCTTGCAAATACAAAACTTGAACCAACGTATTTCTTCCGTTCAGCCTTGCCGTACAATGTCCAAATAGTGGCTGCTTTTGTCCAAACTGCTCTGGACACCTTGCCTGAATTATTGCACATTTTGGTCCAAAATTTGCCAGATACAAAATGTGGTGGAGCGAAAGCCCACAGCAGGCCGTTAGCTCTTTACGTTCCACCGCTCTCCCAGCACACCCACTGCATACCCCCAGTTGGAAGGTCCCAAATGATCACCCCTTTGTGCCACAAAGGTACGATAATTTGGGAAGTCCCAACCTCACCAACAAGCACCTCCTTGCGAATTTTCTGTTCCATGTTTGGGCGGCAGCTTCCACCTAGATGGTTGTGATTTTGGCATTAGTATTTTGTGGTGGCCTGTCCTGGCCTTGGAGGGCACGATACTTGCTGGCTTACAAACTTGGGAACGGCGCAGCGGGAGAACGCGTGGAGTTGCAATGTGGCACTTTGCCAATCGTATCATGTAAGGCAACGAACCGGCGCATCGCCATCACCAGGATGATGACTCAACTTTGCAACGTGGTGGACAATTGGCGCATACCATGATATTCCACCGCTTAGAATTATGGAGAACTCGCGTCCAACAATGGGAGGTCATCAGTTTCTTTGTTTCCAAATCAGGTCCAACTGGCGTTGTTCTTGTCGGGCATTGTCCGAATTCGGGCACATTCCAACGTTTTAGCAGGACAAATTGCTCGAATTGGTTTCCTTGCCGTTGTGGGCAGGCTATGTCAAATCTAATTCTGATGCAAATTGTTAGTTGGACATAAATAGTAAGCGTGCCCCCAGTAGCTGCGACATGTGAATGCATTGTCATGGCGGCAGGAGCGCCTGGGTGCTGGTGGGATAGCGCATGACTAAGGGGATAAAGAAGGAGGGGGTCCGGGACACCTTTGGTGCCATGCGCCATGTGCGCGTGATCATTTTTTTGTATTACGCATGCAGCAGTTATGATGTTTGCGTTACAAAGCATGGGTGGGGAGCTCCGCGACAAGTGCTGTGTGTACCCTTGACCGCTGACTGGCAAGCGGGGGAGGTGCAGCGGGCAGCATGAACCCAGGCAGCGCTTGGGCGAGTGGCCGGCGGTGGCGTTTGCCATCGCCTATGG